TGTGAGAGGGAGGGGAGGAGATAACACTCCCATCTTGTATATATTTGTTAATTGGGAAGGAAGCACCAATGGGACTGTCTGACACTACAAACAAAGCTGTAATTCCCTCTCACACATGTATGAGTAGGTACTCAAATTCAGTGAGAGCCTTTCCATTAACTCAGAAAGCAGAGATCACAAGTTCTTCACTCTCTCAACTCCCTTTGGCAGGCCTATGTGTGAAGCAAGAAGAATCTGGTGCCATATGGTTGCAAGGTAGAAATTGTGCTTTGTGGGTAATGGATTGCAGGCACTTAGGACACAGGTCATTGTTCTTCAGTTACATTTGCCACACTTCTTCAAGCTGACCACAAGCCTTCACAGGGACTCAGCTCCCAGACAGACATGAATTGAGCAATGCGCTTGCCTTGGTTTTCAGGAAATGGTTGCTGTGGAGAGTAAAGAGCCTGCAATTGTGCATGTGTGTCTGACTGGTGGAGCCCCTTACAGCTCCTGTATAAGAGATTTTCCTATGCAATGTAGTGGGAATACATACTCCCCCATGTCACAATTCAGGATAATTCATAGACAATAACCATGAAGTCCTTAGGGAGAAATATCCTATCTCCTTTAACTTTGACTTTTAAACACTGATGCAGCTCAATAAAACCTTCTATCTAGGTGATATTAGCTTAGCTCCAAGAGTGATTTATTAATGACCTTTTATGCCATCTCACAAATGTTTCCAGGTCATTATGTCTGGCTACCAAATGCGGTTGAAAGATCTATGCAATGCATCAAAGCTGTCTGATTTCGTCATGATCCACAATCAGACAGTAGCAGCGGTCAGCGAAGGCTTCATTTGCAACCTGCCTAAGGAAAAGCTCCACGCAGCAGACCTAGCTTTTCATGCTAATATAGACCTTTTGAAGCCTCTGCTGGTGAGTACACTGACTAGAAAGCATAACCTGTGATGGGAGCAGCAGTGCTGGACATTAGGGGATTTTATGGAAGGCATGATACAATGGCTGTGTTGGGCAAGCTTTTTGGGAAGTGCTCAAATGTACTTGACACTTTGGTTTTGGAATGGATTGTTTAATGCCAGTGGGGAAAATAAAGAGGTTCTTAGACTCCCAAGCTAACTACCAAGCTTTCTCTAGTCATCCATCTACTGTCTTTTGTTTGGGATGATGTGTTACATGAGGATGTTGCCTTGCAAATGTGTGTGGTCTGTAATTTGATTTGTCAGGAGAAAAGTATTTATGCTGCATGGTAACCAGCGGGTCCATTCATTGTTCCTGTATTTTGGTCAGATGTTGTGCCTCTGTGGGTGAGTCTATACAAGACACTGTTGCCATAGCAATGAGCTACAATGCTGTAGCTCTTTGCTATGGCGATGTAGCATCTCTGGGCACAAACCGTGATGCTGATGCTACTGCACAGTGCTATGGAAAAAAACCTGTGCGGTGTCAGGACCGCTTAGTAAAACTTGTTACTGCGCAGTCATTTAGTACTTGCTTAAGTACTGTGCATTAATTTAGTGCTTACTTATTGCCACACAGCTTAAGCAAGTACTAAATGACATGCCCTACTAGAATGAACCCGTAGACATCCAACAGAAACGCACTTGGTGTTAGCACCTTTGGGCATCTACATGTGCTCCAGGGTGGGGGTGGCAGGGCATTTTAATTAGAGCCGCTGTAATTAAAATGCCCTCAGCGTCTTGTGTGTTCAGCGTCCTGCACTTCAAAATGGCAGCGGGGGAACTTTAACTAAAGCTTGTTCAATGCTTGTTCAAAGAGTACAGAAGAGAAGGGGCCATAGGATGCATGTGTTGTCCAATAAAAGAAATACTCTGCTGTTTGCCTGATGGAAATAAACCCGTGATGAGCACGCAGATTTGATGTGCTCCCAGGACAAACAGTCAAGCGTCAATGGTTTGACTTTTTCACCAGTCAAATGGGTTGGTTAGTCAGCATTAGGATCTGATTACTCTTCAGCCCTTTACATAAAGGTCAGTTTCTTCTTTATTGTAACTCACTTTCTGTTTTCCACATATCCTCTGTCTGCATTTTTCCTTCCTGAGAGAGGCCTTTACAGAGAGAACAAACCAGTGATGAATGTAGAGAGATGAGAATGAACCAGTGATAAGTGTAGAGATACAAGGTAAAAGCGGACAGAACCAAGGTAGCACTGAAAGCTGTTTTGGAAAAAGTGCAGGCTCTTGGAAGGAAACTTAGTGAACACTAGTTGTGTATATGAGCTAATGTATTAATTATTCAAGGTGTTAATAAAAGGTGATGGTTGCATTTTGATGACTTGGAAAAGGGGATAAAAGTTTTCAGTGACCTTTTCCAGCCTTCCTCATAGGGGTGTATTTTGCCCATTTCACAGAGGTGACGCTTCAAATACCTGAGTCCCAGCCTTTCTCCATGTAGGCACAGTTTGCAACCCCAAGATGATCTCCCCGTCTACTTTGAGCCCCAGATTTATAGAGGGTATCCAGATTGTAGCCAGATATTATCTCTGCTAAGAGTCCAGATTTGTAGAGGTAACTGAGTACTTGCTTCCACAAGGATAGTTAGTTTGGTTGGAGTCCTGGCAATTTTCATCCACAACTCAATGGTGGATGCAAAATACGGAAGTAAATTTGGTGAGCCTAAGATGCTCCTGGATAGGACACTACACATGGAAAGACATACCAGGAAGCACAGAATGGGAAATAGAGAAGGTTGAGGATGTGTTAGATAAGCACTGTCTAAGCTGATGTAGAACAAACATACTTAATTATGCACAAAGCCATGAAGACAATAGCATATAGAAAACTCTGGAAAGGCTTCATTTGGCCTCAACTTCACAGTTGAACTGACAGGCAGAAATCATAAAAGTAATAGTTAAGGTCCTGAAAAAGGAACCCCATTGAAATGGCCCTTTTTAATTATAGGCTCTCGAGTTCAAATGCAAGATTAACAGAAGTTCTGGGGCAGGTTCTGAGCTGATGTATGTGCATGTGGCTCCACTGCCTTCATTGATCTTTTGAGGACGAAAGGGAAAGAATAGTATGAGCAGATAAGTCTCAGTTAAATTCACCTCACTGCAGTACACCCTCTACAATACTCCATGGCCATTTTAGTTATACAGTAAGGGCTCGAGTGGTATGTTGATCTTCCTGCATTAGGGCATTTGTTCAACTATGAAGGAAAAAAAATCTTTTGTGACAGATAACTAGCAAGGAAACAGCCTTTACAGGGAAATCATATGGATATCATGGTGCCAGAAAGGAAATAAATATGGCCCAAAGTGAAGTGAATTGACTGCTAGGACTGCAGCATGGTGAAGACAGTGACCCAAAGAGTGAAGAATCAAGTAGTGTTTATCATACTTAATATTAGTCGATTTCTTAGATCTAGAATATCCCAAAGAAGAATTGCCCAAACTGGAAATAGCTGAAGATGTGTCTCAGGGATGGCCTGAGAGAGAGAACCCTATGTGAAGACTTGGGTCTGGCTCCTCTGTCATTGACCTACTGTGTGACCTTGGACCAAGTCATTTTGCATCTTGATCCCCCATCTTCAAAATGGAGGATGGTGATAGGTCACAACACAGCAGAGGAATTAATTATGGTTAATTGGATTTTGCCTCGTATAAGCACATATATAGATAGGCAAGTCGGTTTAGATGGAAGTACAGCAGTGACTCTGCAAGTGATCGCCTAAAAACCCAAAAGAGGAAGCAGCTTTTCTTGGAAAATGGGTGTATGCTGTCCTTGTAGAACAGGTGTGTGTGTGTGCATGCGTGTGTATGACCATGTGGACCTACCATATCTGACACCAACTGTCCCCTGTACCAGTTCTGTATGGGGTTATTTCTGCTTTGTGACAGACTGCGATTGAATCTCTGTGAGTGGTTTTTTTGCTGTCAGGTGACAAACAAAGCAAAGTAAATGATTTTTTTCTCATGTATAGAGAAACTTTTGCCATCCTTATATCTGTGTAGTTTTAGTATTTTGTGTACAGGGACAGCTCACGTGTACCTTAGTGCAGTCATGTGGGGTTCTGCATGGAGTACTGCAGACATCCCCCTGAACACATGTAACCCAACCTTCTCCTGCCTCATGAGTATGGTTGCAGACTCTGTAAATGCTGTGATTCACGTTACACCAGTCTCATGTGGAGGGTCTGGGTGGGATAACAGGAAGCAATTGTTTCTCACTCTCTTAATGACATGGGTGGCATTTAGTCATCGCTGTAGCATAAACTGAACTTTCCAACTTTCCATTGTGCGTACATTCCAGTTAATTTCATGCAGCAAGCAAAGCTTCCATGAAGGGAAAGTTTTCTTAGGACTACAAGCAACATTTTGAGTTTCCAGCTTCTGCTGTCATTTTTGCTTCGTCTTTGGCTGAATGCTATGGTTCCACCCATACCATAAACTGTAACTCAGGACTTGTATCATTAGGAAACAATGTGGGAAATTTAGGATGAGTGATTTATCAACCAGATTCTGTTTTAAATTGTAACTTTAACAACGAATACAATTTCCTATTTCAAAGCAAACATGATTAAGAAGTTGCATTTATTTACCAGAAGCGACCAGCTGTCATGTGGAAGTGTGCAGCTGCATTGGCCACAAGCCTTGGACCTACTCAAGCAATCCAAACACATCCTATTGCATGTTGTACGAGAAACATCTTTTAACATCCATGGTTTGGGATGTGCATTGTCTGTTCTGACTGTCAGTCATCTATTCTGGTCCTTCAGGGCAGAGACAGAAAGAACACTAAGCCAGATTGTAAATTCCTCGTTTAGGGCTTGGCTTCTCTGCAAAGCTAGTTTGACATGATATCAAGTGTTGTCCTTCCTCAAGTTCTCTCAACCTATACCCAAGGGGAGTGGGCTGTTTTCCGCAGGGTTGAGTGTAGCCCTTAACACAGCCACTCTGGAGTGTGAATGCAGGGCAACTCTCTTTGAGCACTGCCAGTCCTCCAAAGCTTTCCCAGTATTCTCAGCTCATGCCCAAGAAGGACAGATGAATTCTCCCATAGTTGGCTGGAAAGAATTAATAGAGCATCTTAGTTTATTGCCATACAAAGACCCATGGGGATATGCTTCCACAGGTCTTAACACTACACTTAGCTTGACTTGCTTCACACATATAGGGTATGAATCAGGATCCAACTACAGTGAACACAGAAGGCCACATTCTCTCCTCTCTTACTTCAGTGCACGCTCCTGTGAAGTCACAGTGTGAAGGAACATAAATGCAAATTGCCGGGACTCCACAAGAGAGGCAGAATCATGTCAAGGGTGGGGGCTGAGACTCATAAGAGCTTCTTTCTTGTCCCAGCTCTGGTCAAGTCACCACAACTCCCTGTGGGTTTCAGTTTCCCCTTCTGTGCAGTGGGGGATAATATATTCTTCTTCTGTGCTTGGTTCATCTTAGCTATTTATATTGAAGACTTTTCAGAGCAGAGGCTCTCTCCAACTATGTGTCAGTACACAACATAATTCAATGGGGGCCTCAGGCTCTGTCACAGCCTTTCAATGCTACTGTAATATAATGAAAAGGAAATCGGGGGGGTTGATTTTTTTTTTTGTCTCCTTCCATGTGTGCTTCACCAGAAGAGCTTGTCCTTTGTGTGCAGATACGTAGGGCTTCCTACCCTAGTTTATTGTTAATGTGTCAGCACACTTCTGTGACTGCTGGGTGCAAGCCACATTTTTTCAAATACATCTCATTAAGGAGAAAGCCTGAGGTAGGTTTGAATTGGTTTTGTTGTTGTTGTTTACCTTCCATTGTGTATTTTGAGTTATCTGAGGATTAAGGCCTTGATTGTTTGAAGCCCACTGATGTCCATGAGTGTCTGTCCACAGTTTTCAACAGACTTTGAATAACACATCAACCAAGCATGTGAAACATTTAGTGGGTAAAACCAATGGAGAGCAAGCAGATCCTCAGTTGGCATAAGTGTTCCCAGCAGATTCAATGGAGCAGTGCCCATTTAGACTAACTGCAGTTCAAGCCACCTGTTTTCTCAGGAGAATAAGCCAAAGGAAATCCTCACAGGTTCTTCTCCCTCCCAGATCACCCCTGGGCAGTGTTATAAGCACGAGAGATTTTAGTCCGCAGGATAATTTCTTCAGAACTACCAAAAAACTGGGGTTTAAAATGGAAGGGCTGTCTCAGGTGTTAGTCTGTTTTTTTTGTCATGCTCTTAGTTGCAGATGCATAACCTTAGAAAATGATCTTAAGATAGATGCCCTTGCCTTCGGAAAGAGAGATGCTGTCAAACTTGTTAGCACAAACACCTGAGCTAAATAATCTTGACACTTGTCTCCTGTGAAATGTCTTGCATTCAAGTGTGATTTTTGCAGATTGCTCCTTGCTCCTTCCCAAAGTAAAATGAGATGAAATAAAAATGCCCAGGATGGATCCTGGTACTAGGTGTAAACAAAGTGGTTGGCAGGCAGTTGCCTGCCATGGTCTCTGCACACAGCACAGCTAGCACAGATCTGTCTTCAGAATAAGTACAGGCTTCCTGAAAGCAGTGACTCCCACACCGTGGCACCTATCAGTAGTCTTTTCCACAGAGAGTATTCCATGGAAACCGGTTGCTTTTAAAGGAAATGATATGCATTTTGGTTCAAACACTCAGGCCTCACCTAAGGCCACCAAAGCTAGCATTCCTTTAGGGTCTGAGGGTGGGGAGACCAAACGGCAAACATGGCTCTGCAGCAAAGGTGAGGTGGCAGGAACGTACTAGCACGACCAGCAACCCTGTTACACTCTCAGGTAGCTTGGCTGCCTCCCTTCCTAACTATGGTTTGCAGGTAATGTGTCTTCATTTGACTCGGATACCTCCCCAACTTTGGCATGTCCAGGCCTGCAACTTTCATACCCTTGCATTTGAAGAGCAGCCTTATGATGCTGAGAGGAAGGGGGCCCCTTGTGCTCTGAGGCCAGCAGCAGCTGGGAACACATCCCCTCCCTCCCAGCTGAAGGGACACACATTTTGCTACTTCTGTCTTGTGGCCCTAATTGCTGATGTATCTGAGCACCTCTATCCAAGCCCTCAGAGGAGAGGATGGGTTGCCCTGATTTTAGGACCCCAGATGGGTGGTCCTGATTTTAAGTCCCTGATGAGGAGCTGAGGTCCGTTGCAGGTTAAATGACTCCCTCAAAGTCATTCAGGAAGTCTGGGCCAAGGCCAGACTGGAACATCTCTATCCAGTGCCCTGTCCTCTAGACCAGTCTTTCTCAACCTGTGGGTCACAAGAACATATGAAAGGGTCGCGAGCAAACTTTAAAAACCGATTTTCCTTTAAAGGAGAAAAATGTGGGAAACTGTGGCTTTTCATTTGCAGGCTGGCAGAGTTTCAGCCTGCAAGAGGCTGCTTGGGGTCATCCCCATTGCTCCACACACAACTTCCTTGCCCCACACACTGGGGGCTGAGGTCTGGGGACGGCGGGCAGCGGATCAGGAGTGAGGGGCACTAGGTTGGGACTGGCCATTGATGTTTTACAAATGGGTCCTGGTACAAAAAAGGTTGAGAACCGTTGCCCATGCCATCCATTATCTATTCCACCTTGGCTCTACTTGGGAGTGTGAATGTGCCAGAGGGCTTACATTTCCCTGCTTCTTCCTTTTTTGTGATCTCCAGCTTTTTTTTCTCTCTCCTTTCCAGAAAAGAATTTCTCTAGAGTCCTCCTTGCAGGACCTTTCAGATGCCACGGACACTTTGATAGAGAGTCTCGGGAAGCTTGTTAAAGAGGTAAGCTGTTCCTTCATGCTGTGGTGGAGAGAACTTTTCTCTGCCATCCCATTCCCGGCTGGGTCTGTGAAGTGAAAAAAACACCCAGCTGCTCAGTGTGTTTCAGCAGTCAGCAACCTGCACTGTTTTACAAATACCAATTTTCTAGAGGCTAATGCATGGTTTTGCAGATGAAATGGTGGGAGGGGGGAATCTGAAGTCTGAAATGCCTGTTGCTAGCCAACCCCCCCAAAGATGTTATTTATGGAGCAAGGGAGTTATCTTGCTTACTGCTCTTATCCTGACTTTTAAGCAATATGCTGTCACTATGCCTAAATGTTGTCTCTCCGGGGGAAAAAAATTGCTGTTTAATCTAAACTAAACAATGCTGCCCTCCTCCTCCACCTCCTCTCTGTTAGGCTTCTGGCGGCACATGAGGGTAAGAGCGCCTTCCAGCCATGAACTGGAGTAACCTCTTGGTGCGTGAGCAAGGCTGGGTCACCTCAGGTCACTGCGAGTGCTCCTTCCACAGGGCGGGCTGGGCATTGGGAGCCAGTGCGATGTGAGCCAGTAGTGCCTGGCACATGTACCCTGCCCTGATCGAGCCCTAGGCCCTGCCAGGGGGTCTCTTTACTGGGAAATGAATAAGATGATTTCAAGATCAGCTTTGCTTCGAAATCATGGCTTGCTGCTCATAGGACAGCCTGATCTAACAGCCTTGCCTTGAGGTCTGGTTACAGCTGTTTCCCGTTACATCACTCTGGCATTTCTTTCTTTCTTTCTTTCTTTCTTTTTTTTTTTTTTTCTGGGGTAAAAATAATTGAAGCCATGTGATGTTCGCTTTGCTGATGTGGCTGAAAACTTGCCTGAGTAACATGCCTTGTGCTTGGCAGCTGTCCCAGGGTGGGAATACCTTTCTTCGCCCCTATTGCCTTGCAAACAAAAGCAGCTTTTTCTTTGCAATGCACAGCATAGCAGGAGCCACCCCAGACGGCTTGACCGAAAGTTACTTTTGGTTGTCTGGCAGACTGCTCTCTGCGTAACAAACGGGGAAGGGGAATTTGTTCCCTTGTTTAGTGAGGCAACAGCTTAGGGGTGGATGAGGGAGGGAGGGCTGTTGTTTGAATCATACCCTACTCACCTTTCTAGGGGAGGATTTTAATCACAGAAGGGACTGAGCCTAGTTCCCTATGGGAATGTCTGGATTCATATCCTTGGATTTCTCTCTGGATCAGCCTATGTGCTGAACCTTCCCTTGCCTTAGCCTCCTAGCAAGAAGCACCCAGCTTCCCTAGGAAAACAGTTCTAAATGCCTTTGAAAATACACAAGGGCCAGATCCTCAGCTGGTGTAAACAGGCCTCACTCCCCACAGGGGGTGCTATTATTATAACCTTCTCTCTAAGGGCCTTGTGTGCTCTGAAAGACTAGGCAAAGCTGCTTGCACAAAGGATGTAATGTTTGTTTTAATGGCAAGGTCTGCTAGATCAAGCTAAGGGTCATTTCTTATTACTTATTTGTATTATGCTTGTGCCAGAAGGCCTCTAGTAGGCCTCCAAGTGATGGGTGTTGTGCATACACAGTCATGGAACAGTTCTTGGAACAAAGTGCTTAGTCCAAACACAGAGTGGGTTAGGTGCTGGTGAGGTGGGACAAAGAAGCACAGAGAGGTGAGGTAACTTGCTTAGGGTCACACACGAGGTCAGCAACAGAGCTGGGCTCTGGAGTGCCCGTCCAGTACCCTGTCCCCTAAACCACATTGCTACTCAGTAACTGTTCTGCAGTGGAGACTGCTTTCTCCAGGGCATTGTAAAATCACTGCCGTCAGACTGAAACTAGGCACTTGGACTTTCAAGCCCTCCCTGATGATAAGCATTCCAGCTGCCCCCTCCCATTTTCCCTGGTTAACACATTGAGGCATGCTTTGTAAAGGTGTCCTGACTTCAGCAGAGCCACTCTAGATGTATTTCTGGACCAGCGTAGAATGAGGCTTTTAGTCATGCCACTTGTATACCCCTACAGCAAAAGGGAGGGAGTGATTCACGCTCAAGTTTTCTGTATCATTCCTAGTACGGTCTAAGCAGGAATGGAGGTGCAGAAAGAGAATCCATTGCTGGTGGAAAATAGAAGGAGCTTTAGGAGTAGACTGAATGAGCCATGAGGCACCAGAATGACTACTCAGTCTGATTTAGTCAATTTTATCAGTCTAATCAAGCTTGTCCTCAGAAAAGGTTACATAATCCAGTCAGTAATACAGCAGGAGGCTCCCTATGCTGTTTGATGGGTGTATGAGTATGATAACTGCAAGGTACTTGGAAACTAGCAGTCTTTGATGACCTGCAGAAGACAAAGGGGTCTGTTTTCAGAGTATGAATACTTCGAACTCTGAAAATCAGCCCTCCCCAAGGCCAGGTGTTGCCAACTTAAGGATCCTGGCAGAGAACCTTTTGCAGAACTGTTCTTTTGGTAGCCTAGTTTATTGTAGCCTCCAGAGAAAATTAAGTGATACCAGGAAATCTGCCATTTCACCAGCAGAACTTCATCTACACACGAGGGTCATTTGCTGGCACAGCTGTGAAAGTTGCAGATCACACCTGGTCTCATGGCTGCCCAGTATAGCCATGCAAGCACACATTGGTCTCGCAGACTTGGAGTGCTGGGCCAGTGTAACTGTGTCTACCCTGGGGAGTTAGTCTATGATAAGCTAGTGCACAGCTTTGTGGCAATGCAGCAGTTGTGCATAGACTTTCTGTGCAGACTCTCTCAACACACAGAAGTGTGAGGTGGTTTACTTCACTTTGAAAGTGCTGCTCTTACTGACTGTGCACAAGGAACAGCTGCCCGGGGAACCAGGCCTCAGTGAGTGGAGGTGCAAATTTATACTACACTGGCTAATCCATGCTAACTTCCTGTGTGGACAAGCTTTACACTAATTGTGTGGGCTTTTAAACCAATATACATATACCAGTAATAGGCCCTGGTGTTGTGCACTTAAAATAGTATGGTTATTCTCCTTCCTGAAATAGCCACCCCCAGCATCTTGATACTGGTATAACTCCATCTGCACTAGGCAAATTCTACCACTTCAGCTACATCAGCAAAGGAAAAGCGGCATGTTTTTCTAGGCTACAGTTGCTCAAGGAGGTTTTGAGTTGGGTACCCCAAACTCCTTAGTCCCTTGAGAAAGTTCTGGCCTTATCAACTGTTTAAGGGTTATCAAGCTGAAAAATTCAAGTGAATCCATATGCAGCCTAAAGTAACAAATGCACATGGTTATTTTCCTTGCATCAAGCAATATTAGTTTCCTACATAAACTGTTGAACCTGCTGGCTGTAGTAGTGGCAGTCTAGGATTCCCAGGCAGTGGAAGAAGTAAAAATCTGCTGAAAACCATTAACATTAGGTAAACAGATAACACAGTCCAGCCTTTGTGGTTTCGCTTGTTCTGCCTACAGTCTTCCATCATACCAATATGGATCATGTTTTTATACAGCTAAAAATAAACAGACATCTTGTGCGTGACATGGGAACAGCTCTTGATTAACAACATTTGAGATTTTGCCAAGGTGTTGGCACACGTCTGAAACATCCACAGTTCTGGGAATGAGCTCAGTGGGCCGGGTTCCCCCCTAGTGAAAGACCCAGGATCCAAGCTCTGTCGAATTCATGGGTGAATTTGGTTTGCATTGTTCAGATGCAGCCCAGTTTCTGGGTTGTCATTAGCTATGTGGCTGTGTCAGCAATCTGAGACTTGGATTACTTTACCTGTCTGCTTTTAGTAAAAAAAAAAAAAAAAGTGACAAGTCAGACCACAATACGTGAAGCTAGCAGGACAGCTATACCCTGATTGACTTTGTGTCACTGTCTGTGGAAATCCAATGAGAGACTGTACCCCTGTAATGTTAACATCTCCTGCACCCTCTCTGGGTCAGTCTCAGAAAGAGGAATCTGCAGAATGTTAAGTGATACCTGGGATAGAAAGAGATCACAGTTATGTGGAACTACAAAAATGTGCCTGAGATGACCAGGGCTAATTCTGGGCAAGATACATCCTTTCTTCTCCTGCTGGCTGATGGGAGCAGGGGCCAGCAGGAGTGTTGGAAGAGGAGGTGGAGACCTCAGAGTAGTCCTGGGGAATGTGTCCCTTCCCTTCAGCTCTTGGAAGACCCTCTGTTACCTGTTCCCAGGGACCAAGAGGTACAGCCATTGAGGGATGTTTGTCCAGTATCTTTGGCCAGTTCTGAAGTGTTTGGCTACACGTCCCCTTGGAAGTGAGTCAAGACAGATGCTGGTGTCAGATGCTAGAGGAAGGCTAGCATGTCCCTAACTGACCTGTGAGATGACTCCCCTGCACCTACAGAGAACAGTTCTATTTTAGTGCTTGACCAGGTACCATTGTGGGGATAATATGGATTCCCTGCTGTGACCCAGAAGTTCAGCTGTATCTGTAATTGTTAGCATTACCACTGAGGATGTTCTGCGAATGCTATTGCTAAGGAAGGGGGAGGGAGTGACCATGTGGGTCAGATTCTCTGCAGGGATAGGCTGGCATTTACTTCAATGAAGCTGTGCTAGTTTACATTCACAGAGAATTCAGCCTCATGGCTTGACCTCTGAATGTTTCAGAGCTGTGTCTAATTAATTTGAGTCATTTTGCATTATTTCCCTGCTTCTTCTGACTCGCTTCACCCCATTCTTCAGCCAGGAGGAGGCAGCTGTTGGAACGAAAATGGTTTTGCAACTAGGAGTAGTAGTGGATTCTGGTTGGGAGAAGGGGGGGGGAGTTTCCAGTCAGTTAAGCCAAAAATACAGAATAAAGACACTGCAATAGGGTCATTGGCTTCCCCCTCCTATCCCGTGGATATTATATGGTTCCCCACTGATAATGCATGGGTTATTCTTCCAAGGTCTGTTACATATCCATGCTGTATTAACTTAGATCAGATGTTTCTTGAGATGGATCCTTTGAATGTCAAACTATCTGTGCAATGCCAGAGATAAAAGCAAAATGTTTCCCTCAATTGTTCCTTTACAGCTGCTGAGCATGAAGAGCTGGAGTGACATGAGGCAGGAGGTGATGTTCCTGACCAATGTGAACGCTTCAAGCTCCTCTGCCCAGATCTACCAGGCTGTGTCGAGGATTGTGTGTGGCCATCCTGAGGGGGGAGGGCTGAAGATCAAGTCTCTCAACTGGTATGAGGACAACAATTACAAAGCCCTGTTTGGAGGCAACAGCACTGAAGATGATGTAGCTAGCTTCTATGATAATTCTACAAGTAAGTAGAGCTCAGTCATGGACAGTGCACATTTTTACCTTGCAACTAGCCCACTTATTACATGGCACCCCTTTCTTGCGATTGATACATTAGTTAATAGTTGTTTTGAGTAGTGGCTTCTGGCTGCATGTTTTCACATACTGAGACTCTGTGATGAGATACTGAATACCAACCTGATGTGCATTTTGGCTCCCAGCATACAATGCAGTACAAGTTCTCCTAATTTACATAGTGCAGACTTGATTAATAGGACCACTGAATCCAGTCCCCTGCTATTGTAGGTACCACTCCATTTAATCCGAGCTTAGGAAATTCAATGGAAAAAGCACCTCGAATTGGCTTAATTATACTTTGCCTTGATATGGTAGTGTTGAGTGATGTTATAACCATGATGGTTCAGGAAACATGCAGGAGGCAAGGATTTTTGTGAGTGATATCTTTTTTTTGATCAGCTTCATTGTTGGGATATTCTTAAACAATACAGTCTTCTTCAGATCTCGGCTCTTCAGGTGACATTTAAAAGCTTGTCTAAGTTTATCCCAAACGTGAAGTTGGGTCAAAAAAAGAGACCCCCCCCCGATATCCTTTCCATTTTGCCTTGACTAATGTACAGTAGACTGGATTTTCAAAAACACAAAGTATGCGGGGTACCCACTTGGGGATGAGCTTTTTTGAAAACCTGGCCTGGAACCTTGGAAAATTTGGCTTTGTGGTGAGTATGCTGTTCTGTTCTGTTCTGTTTGAACTGTGTCTTTCAGTTCATGAGCCACAGAGGATCCCTTGGGCATGGAAGCAGTTTGCACTATGGACGTTATATGGCTCGCTTTTGGAGTGACAGCATTGCAGAGCTACATGGGGAATTGAGAGGTGTATAATGAGACTGTACCTGGTTTCCAGTACAGTTGTGTAACTAAGGATCACATATTTTTTTTAACTGAAGCCCTTTCTGCTCAGATGTTCATTTTTAAGTGCACCCAGCTGAGCCATTTGCCATGAGCAAGCACCTTGGAACTATTCAGTCATGTGATTCTGGTTGACTCACGCAAGTCCCCTCTTTCCCTAGCTCCCTATTGTAATGAGCTGATGAAGAACCTGGAGTCCAGTCCACTTTCCCGAATTATCTGGAGGGCTCTGAAACCTTTGCTGATTGGGAAGGTCTTGTACACTCCTGACACTCCAGCCACAAGGCAGGTCATGTCTGAGGTAAGCTACACAACCCATGTCGGTGTGGAATCAGCACAGTTCAGCTGCTTTGGGTTAGGAGGATGGTTGGATCTGGCTCCTTGAGTCCAGGAAGGATCACCTGAACATAAAGATGATTGTAGGCAAAATGCCAGCTGAGGAACTCTTAGGCTGCTTTTGCCTTCTGTTGAAACGTAAAAATGGGGAATCAGAGGAAAGGAGGGAAGGCTGGAGTACACCCATGCCCTAATTCATCATCCATGCTGGAGGAGAGACAGCTGGGGACACCAGGAAGGGGTACTAGTAAAGCCTTGAATGTTCATAGTGTGGCCAGCTCTAATATGGAGGGACAACTGGGAGGCAGTTTTCCTGTGTGCTTCTGCCTGTGGAAGAACCTGTTGCCATGCATCCTTGAGAAAGCAACCTCCAAATGGAATGACCTGAGCATTGCCCTGGTAGGCAGATGTCTTGGCTCATGATCATATTTTCCCTTCTCAAACACAGCTGACTGCAGTAGCTCCCAAGTTATCCAGTAAGTGCAAGAACATAGCCAGTACAATGCTTGGCTTTGCAGATCACTGTTCACCAGGCCTGGCTGCTGCTCAGACCTAGGGCTCCATTGCTTTGGATTAACTCTTCTCCTTTGCTGGCAGGTGAACAAGACATTCCAGGAACTGGGTGTGTTCCGTGACCTTGGAGGCATGTGGGATGAGATAGGCCCCAAGATTTGGACGTTCATGGAAAGCAGCCAGGAGATGGATCTGATCCGGGTTAGTGTGCTGCTGTTGCATGGTTTGGATTGCTTTGTCCTCACCAAAGCCACTTGTTGGCAAGAAAACCTCAAGTATTTGTTTTAAGATTGAGGGAGACCAAAGGGTGGCATGTGGAAGCTGCATAGGGGATGCTTCACTCTCAAAACAAGTTCTGTCGCGGGGTAGCTCAAGTCAGTACACAGCTACTGTATCATTTGAATAGGAAAGTGCTTTTCTAGTTTGCAGTTGTCTGGAACAGTGCTTGCCTGAAATAGAGAGTGTATTACACCCAGATGATCTAAATTCTCAGCAGGGCTCTAGTGACTCTTGGGGATTTGCCCAACTTTGCACTAGCTGAAGATCCAGCTAACCTGAGTTCAGAACAAGGGGAGGTGCATTAGGTTCTGTGTTTTACAGGGTCCTGTAATCCCATTACAAGCTGTATGAACTGGAGCAGAGCATCATTAGCCACTGCTTTTACATCTGCCATGCTGGGTTGGGTTCTTTCATCCACACTTCTTATTAACACTGCAAAAATTGGTGGCCTGCAGCATTTTTGTAACCTGGGGAGCAGGGTTATTTTGATGGATTTAACTTGCTGAGCTGTGATCTTTATAGGTCTGCATGGCAATGAGTTCTAAGGCAAGGACTTTCCAGATGTTATCAGGAGAAATCAGACTCAACCTATGCCTTGAGCTTGTAAGGTGTCAAGTTCCTTCAGATCCCATTGAGTGTAGCAGGCACTGAGTACTCTGTGTCCTGTAGATGCTCAGACCTTGCAGGATTGGGTCCAAACCTTGTAAAATCTATTTTTGAATTGGATACTATGCTTAATTTTGTAATATAAAAATGCTCTAGGGGAACAGCAACTGCTAACTGCATACCTGATCGCTTGGTTAACATGCCATACATACTAAGTTACAGAGAAGGAGCCTACTTTTACATATCTGCAAGGAGTACCTTGTTTATGCTTCTGTTAGTGAGTAGAGGTTTGGACCCGGTAAGTCTACAATAAGCATTAATGGTCTAGCTCACTGCTGCTTTACCCAATTGTACTCTAGCATGACACTATTTTGCTCAGAGTAAGACTGCCAGCATTTTCTCCCTATTGGTGACAGGAGTTACACCAGTGGCAAAATGGGAGTGATACAGCAGTGAATCAAGCCTTTGGGTTTGGTTCCAGTCAGATTTTGCCTTCCCAGCAGAATAGTGTTGTTTTACTGAGGGAATCCCTCTGAATCCTTTAAGGCCTAGAGGTACTATTCTTCATTCCACACCCTTGCACAACTTGGCGTGCTCTCCCACAGACACGAACAGGCTGGAAGCCCCAGGAGGTCACTTTTGTACTGGCATTGGTTTAATGGTTATTACTCCTGCTTGGGCTAGCGTAAGTGAGGCCAGCATCAGGCTTAGAGAGGGTAAATTGAACTGCAGAACACTGCCCCAGGGCCAGGCATCTGTTATCCTTTGAAAAGCAGGTGTATATTTAAATGAGATCCCAGATTTCCCAGGCAGGTGTTTTATCCTTGTCATTAACCCATGCTGGCTCTGGCAGAAGTTTCATGAGATTTCCAAGAGCTGCTCATTCCCTCCAGAATTTTAACAAACAGTTCAGTTATAAAAGCACTGATCTGTTTTGCTGCCACCTATCCCAGCGCTGGTTCATGGGGTCCTTTACTGCAAACAACTCTGGCAAGTTCTGGTGTCACTATTCTGTTAAATTTAGAAATGAAACAAGGATTGGTTACATGCATATTGGGCCAAAATGCAAGCCTTTCCAGCCAAGTCCACTGTTAAGGAAGGTCAGTGCTTTCACCTAATGACCTTGGCAGCTGCCTGTCTAAGCTGAATGATATGCTATCCATAGGACAGCAAGGTGATAGTGTTACTGTATGTATGTTCTAGCTTCTCAGGGCACTGCATGTTTATGGTAAGTGCTTTCCTAGCTCTTGACTGACACACTGGACTTGATCCTGATGCTTTCAAGACTACAAGGAAGCAGGATCTGTCTGCCTGAGTGTGCTTGCTTGTAACATGGATGCTGAATATGAAAAGTGCGAGACCCCTCACTGCAGGAAGTGTGACTCTTTGCAGGGAGGGTTTGTGTTTGTAGGCTCCAGGGAGACAAAATGGAAGAGGAGCCTAGAGAAAACATCACTTAGCCCCTTCCCTTTCTGTTTTTCTTCCCTGTGTTCTCCTTTGTCAGTGTGGCCTAGTCTGCTCTGTTTCCCTATTCTGCAATATTATTTTGTTAACCTCACAGCCCTTTGCCTTCTGACTGTCTGTCACAGCTGTGCTTGCTGGAATTCTTTCCCTCTGCTATTTTCTCCTTCATTTTGACATCCCGTTTCTTATTTTGTTGTTTAAAGTTTTTAACCATTTCTGAGCCTTACATTCTTTTTGCCTAGCCAGATCCTTTGCAGTTTTATTTTTTTTTAACAACCCCTTATCCTGTACATAATGTTGCATGTTACATCACTGTCAAGAGGCTCTTGCTCCAGTCAAAGCCAGCTGTGTACTGTGCTGCACATATATATAGTCCCTGCCTCAAATTGCTTAAAAGCTTACCAGACAAAGGGTGTATAATCTGTTCTCCAAAGGAGGAGTTGAGGCAAGATTAGGTTATTTATCTGGGGTTACACAAGGGGCCTGTTGCAGTGGGTGGGGTTGGACCCAGATCTGTGGGTTCTCAGGCACAGCATACTGGACTGTTCATCCCCTTGCAGCTGTCATCCACATGCCCATTTAACTGCTCTGTTTGTGACATTGCTTTGTTGTAGGACTTCTGCCCAGCCTAACCATGAGATAACGTGTACACAAGCACACAGGATAAGTGTTGAAGTTCCTTTTGCTATCCCAGCCAGTGGTTCCTCCTTGTCTAACCTCTCTGCATCGAGGATTATAGCATGCAGTAATGTACAATAAGTGCACAAGGGAGGAGGCCACTTCAGCTTCACTCTATTGATATTTATGTTTAGCACCTCAAGAACTGAATTCCCGGCTATGCTTGATCGGCCCAGTCTCAGCTGGAAGGGTAGGATTGTTTGGAAGGTGTCAGGGCTGCTTAGCAACCACCGATCAGCTGAACACATTTCTTTTCTGTCTTTGTGCTTTTCTGCTTTTCAACACTGGCTTTATTTTTTTTTTTAATGTTTGTTTGTTTTGCAAGGCTTTCAGCCTTTCCCAGGACCCTGCTGAAGCCTGTCCCCTGGTGGAGAGAAGAGGCTTAGCAAAGGAGCCTGTGATTTTCTGGGATGTTAAGGCTCTAATTTTGTAGTCCAAAGTGCATAGCTCTTTGCTGCACTCTAGTGGGAACAGAGATGGCCAAATATGAGACCAATCTCCATCCTGCAAGGCAGTGTGGTGCTGGGAATACCTCAAATAGGCAGTTAGACACACCTGTAGATTGCTGTTTATTATTTGTATTAGAGAAGCACCCCAGTGTGAGGACCTTATTCTCATGGGAAACAGTTTCTCCTCTGATGAGCTGATAATGCAAATGGACCAGACAAACACAGTTGTAAAAGGAAATGGGTGATGTAAATTGCCCACGGTCATGCAGCAGGTCAGTGGCAGAGCTGAGAAGAGGATTCAGGTGCTTTACCAGTGATCTTCCTCTGTAGTGCAAGTTGCCTCTCATAAAGTGATAGGCTTTGTTGTGGGTGGCCAGCCTCTGCTGGGATTTATATTCCCTGGCAGCAGCTACGCTTGGCTTATCTTCAAGTAAAGTGGATGCACCCTCCAGTCTGCTGGCAAGCAGCTGACCCAGGTGCCATGGGTGCCCTGCGGTGATACCACCAGCTCTATGTCTCTCTAGAATTTATTTCCTTCTGGGGATTTTCATGCATTTGTTGTAGTGCCACGTGTGTGGTAGGGCTACAGATCAAGTCTAAATGTCATTGTTTCCCCTTGTATGACAATTGTAGACGCTGCTGAAGAGTAGAGGCCTCTGGGACATGCACTTGCATGGCACCAATTGGACAGTTGAAGACATTTCCCTCTTCTTGGCGAAGAGACCTGAGGACATTCAGCTGGTGAATGGCTCAACCTACACCTGGATGGATGCCTTCAACGAGACTGACCGGGCTGTCCAGACGATATCCCGCTTCATGGAGGTTAGCTTGGATGCATGCTTCTTTCTGCTGGTGCTTGGTAATGGTTTTACTCCCCTGCTGAAAGCAAGGAGTCTTTTCTCTTGTGACCTCCAGTGCCAACCTAATCTCCACACCCTGCAAACTGGCTAAGTGAGGCAAGCTAAAAGTACTCCATGGGTGGGGTTGTGGCTTGGTCTCCAGGTTTGCAGTCTTGGGCAAATTGCACCTAAGAGAACTGGCTTCAAGAAATCAATTAAATGGTCTAGCTGAGATTTTAAAAGTGGGGGTCTATACTTACACTTGGAAGTCTGTAATTAAGCATCTAAATTAAGTAGTTTTGTTTCAGTAGGGCTTGCTGGGCAGTCAGCATTTATTTAGATACCTAAATATGGATGCAGGAACCTACTGTTAGGATCCCCCTTTTTGTAAATCTTGTCATACCCATTCCATGTGGTTCCCAATGGAGCCCTGCCCTACCGTTATGTATGGCTGATAATAGCCAGTCTCATTGATGCTGTTAATGCTTATTTTTCTACATGTGTTGTTATCTGGTGACCACAAAACAAGCTGGAGTTGCTGGAAGCCCTTGGCTGCCCAGACTGCTCCTGGTTGCAGCAAGTAATGGGAACTGTTTTCATATTTCTTCATTGACATGTAGAATCAGAGATTTTTTATTGATATACAGAGGCTTTGGACTAGGTCTGTATCTGATGAGGAAAACAGTGCTCCATCTATGGAAACTTTATATAGGAAAATCATATTGCAGATCTCTTATTTGGCATAACTTTTGGTGAATAATCTGTTGCAACCCTGACCTCCAGATGGTGCAACATCCCACTTCTTCTGGGTTCACTCAGTGCTGCTTCTTGCTTGGCAGCAACTATAAAGGTATCAGGTCACCTCTGTCTATCCTGTCATGCCATGCTAAGTAATGGATTCCTAGTAATGTTGTTGTGTTGGATGGGATCCTCAAGAGATCATCTGGTTCAGCCTCCTGGCCTGAGGTGGTTTAGAACCCAAGCTGTGCTCTGTCACAGAAAATTAGGGTTGGAAGGAACCTCAGAAGGCCATCTAGTCCAACCCCTGTTCAAAGCAGGACCAGCCCCAACTATATCATCCCAGCCAAGGCCTTGTCTAGCTGGGTCTTAAAAACTGCCAAGGATGGAGATTCCAGAACTTCTCTGGGTAACCTGTTCTAAGGTTTTTATTACCCTCTGAGTGAGAAGGTTTTTCCTAATATCTAACCTAAACTTACCTTGCTGCAATTTGAGACCTTTTGTCCTTGTTCTGTCATCTGCCATCACTGAGAACAGCTTAGCTGTTCAGCTGGTTCCTCTTTGGAACCAGTTGGAGTAGTTGAAGGCTGCTATTAAATCCCCCCTCAGTCTTCTCTTCTGTAGACTAAATAAGCCTAGTTCCCTCAGCCTCTCCTCAGAAGTCATGTGCTCCAGCCCCCAAACTATTTTCGTTGCCCTCCGCTGGACTCTCTCCAATTTGTCCACATCCTTTCTGTAGTGAGGGGCCCAAAACTGGACACAGTACTCCAGATGTGGCCTGACCAGTGCTGAATAGAGGGGAATAATCACTTCCCTTGATCTGCTGGCACTGGTTTCACTAATGCAGCTCAGTATGCTGTTAGCCTTCTTCACAACAAGGGCAAAC